TTCTCCTCCTCTTCCTCGCCATGCCTCCGGTCCTGCCATCTTCCCCACGTGCCCTGCCTGCCTGCAGGACCATGCACACGCGTGTACACGCATGCACACGCATGTACACCCGTGCCATGCACGCCCTGCATCCTGCTGCACGCTCGTCCCACTGCTCCCATGATGGCTTCAAGTCCCGCTCGGCCGGCACCGCTCCCAGAAAGCTGCACCAAACTCCCGCCTTTTCCTTCCTGCCTGCCCTCGCCGCCAGCTCGCACCAGCCCGCCGATGCCCGGGGAAAGTCACTCTTTAGCCTGTGCCAGCAACTCCTGCCCGCGCCGGAAAAAACGCGGTTTTTTGGCAGGCGGGTGTTTTCCAAAAGTGTTTTCCTGCGGAATCACCCAGCAGTGGCGAATGCTTGTGTGGGTGAAATAGGGGTGAGGGTCTGGGAGCCCTTCCCGGTGCAGCCCCGCAGTGACGCGTCTGCGGGTGGAACCCGAGTGGTGATTAGGAGGAAACTCTTCGGAAAGGCGCGTGTTTCGTGTTCTTGTCCATCGCGGGTGGGTTTGGCTCCGTCTCAGGGTCGGTAGATCCTTGTCGTGTCTTTCAATTTTTTTTTTTTTTTTTAATAAAAGTCCAAACTTTGCAAACCGCTCTGTGCGGATATCTTGTTTCCCGGTCACATGTGCTGATGGGTGCAGGGCCGGAGTGCGGTTTGTAAAGGGCTTCGGGACGTTTTGAGATGAGAAGCATCTTTTTGGAAACCGCAGGCTGGGAGAAAAGGTGTAAAACTGGATTTTCTAATTGGTTATTGCAGTGTTTAGGGTCTCGTAGGGGGGATTTGCAGTCCAGGTTGCTGATCTGTGGCATGATGGTCTGTGGCAGGAGTTAGGCTGGATTTGGGGGAACCTGTCAGTATTTCTTCCTAAAAGAAGAGGAAAAACCAGAGTGTGCTGTAATTGCACGTTCTTTGCGGAGGGTATTTGTGGTGGTGGTCCTGGTTTGTGCAGCACCGTGGGCGCAGGAGCTGCCTTTCTCCTAGCAAACCCCACAAAAACACCAGTTGGGGTGAGCACAGGGACACATTCCCCATTTTGCCGTGTCCCCCCAACCTTCCCTACTTGCTAACTGAAGTGTTCCTCGTTTGCTTCCCCAAACCTCCTCCCGGGCTTCGCTCTGCCGCCGGCAGCGATGCCGGTAGGCGCGGGGGCTGACGTTTTTTTTCCCCGGCGAGAGAGCTGGAAGAACGCCGTCCAAAATACACACCCGGCATTGAAGCAAGAAATAATTTGGGATCTGTGCCGGCTCTGGCCCCTGCGGCGCGTGATTGCTAACAGCTGGGAGGGCTCGCGGCGGCGGCAGCAGCGTGGCCTCCCGGCTCCGCCTGCACCGCTGACGCCCTCCCAGCTCTTGCTCCTCTTCTTGGCTTTGTGCTTGGAGGCATGGAGGCGGGGGGTGGATTTTTTGGCGTTGGCTCGTCACCCTTCAGCTATGGGCTGAGCGCCCAAATGGGATCCGGCGTTCAAAGGTCTGCTGGAAGCAGATGTGGCTCCAAAAACTGGCTTTTGGGGAGGGTTTTCCTGGCCCCGCTTGCAATCGTATGTCTCTCCTCCTTCCCGCTCCCCCAGCCCAGACCGGGGCGGGGGGGTGGAAAGGGAAGGCAAAATGAAACCCTGAAGGAAATGAGAAGCAGCCTCCCACCTTCGGCGCTCCCTTCCCTGCACCTGGCCGCCAGCCAAGCGCTGCCTTCAAACCAGCGTGC